GGATGTGGAGAAGTAGCTGATATAGAACTGGAAAAACAGTCAGGCATAGATAGCGCTGCACTAGGATGTAGTAGAACTTAGTTCATCAAGTTGCCAAAGACTGGAAGTGTAACCAAGAGTCTCGGCGTTCAGTAGTGTGCGAGGTAGATGAAAAGTTTCCTACGATTATAGACCAATTGGAAGTATATCGGAGTGCAAAGAATATCGGGTATGGGGTAATGAAGCCATGTATAAGAGGACATGAAGACACGTGTAAAGATGCAGATTATAAAAGAAGGAGAAGGGAAGTGCTGGAAGGTATATGTCGGTAAGATGAGTGGTGTTATACGTTTAATCGCGGGATGGATCGTAGTAGCGCTAAAAGGAAGTACATGATGAGGCGGTGATTGAAGATGGGTAAGAGTGATAGGAATGGTCATCGCGAGGAGGTTTGGAGAAGGGAGGTATAGATAGGGATGGGGAGAATAACAGGCAGGCAGAGATTTGGTAGGCGAAGTAGATAACGTTGATTCGTCGGAGTGGATACTAATGAATGGTGGACACTGAATTGTACATTGTTAAGAAAGACCCAGCGATGATTAGGTGGTGATATAACACTAGAAAGTAGAGACCTAAGTAAACTATGGATGAGATTTCGATAATGATGAGGGAATGCTGATGGTCGCGGTACATATAGACGATTAAGGTAGTCACATCGCGTAGTGGTGGGGAGTTGGATGGTGGGAAGCGTGGTGTGTTCGGATGGGAGAGAGGGTTTAGTGGGGAAAGCGTCGTGCCATACGTGTTCAGGTTCCATTTTCTGCGAGGACGCGTGTAAGTAGTATAGGCGTGTAGTCGTGGAATAAGTAAGATAATAGAATAAGTAGAGGAGTGAGAAGAACTCAGAAAGCATAATTTACAGAAAGAAAGACAAAGCTAATCCGTGCCGGAGGTCAAAATAGTGTTGCTTAAAGGATATGAGACAGATCAGTTCTCAAAAGAAGATCATGCATTAGCAGTGGCGGAACAGGGATAGCATGATATATAAGAGGTAGGCTGGTTTGGAGTCGTGATGTGAGCCTTAGCGAGAGAGAAGGCGAGAAGAGAGAGAACGGAGCGCGAGAGAGAGCGCAGGGTGGAGCGACTCTGTAAATGGCAAGCGATAAATAAGCGAGGAAAGCAGACAGGGGCGGTTGGAGAGGAGGATGTGTGAGAAATAGAACGACGTGTTAGACGTGTTGGGTGGACTGTAAAGTAGTGCAAGGTCCTATTATGGGAAAAACGAGGAGGGCGATTGCGTGGAAGGGAGTGTAGAGAAAGCGTAGAGAACGCGATGGAGGGCTCGAGGATGTGCGCGATGACTGTGATATACCCGTGAAGATTTAGTAAATCTATGCGGCTATAAAGGAGCACATGCACCACGTATGTTTATGCGGCACATCCCAATAGCAAACTTGGAATCAACCCACTAATGTCATCAGTGGACAGACTGGATTAAGCAAATGTGGCACATATTACACATGAATACTATGCGCCATTAAATGATGAGTTTGTGTCCTTTGTAGGGACATGGATGCAGCTGGAACATCTATTCTCAGCAAAACTATCGCAAGACAGAAAACCAAACCGCATGTTCTCTACTCATAGGTGGTGAGATGAACAATGAGGATCACTTGGACTCACGGGACAGGAACCATCAGTACACCGGGCCTATCATGGGGAAGGGGAGGAGGGGGAGGGATTGCATTGGGGTTATACCTGATGTAATGACGAGGTGATGGGTGCTGACGAGTTGATGGG